TGCAGCACTAAGATCTAATAATACAAGTACAGAGACAAGTCCATTGTCAGAAGCAGTCAGAAGGTCATTATTAACTTTAACCAGAGCTGTCTCTGTGCTGTGATGAACTCTAAATCCTGACTGAAAATCCTCAAATAAACTATTGTTATGTAGAAAGTCACACAACTCTTTGGCGACTACTTTCTCCAGAATCTTAGAGAGGAAGGGGAGGTTAGAAATCGGTCTATAGTTGGCTAAAACCCCTGGGTCAAGAGTGGACTTTTTAAAAAGGGGTTTAATTACAGCTACTTTAAAGGACTGTGGTACATATCCTGATAATAAAGAAAGATTAATCGTATCCAGTTAAGAAGTGCCAATTAAGGGAACAACTTCTTTAAGCAGCCTAGTTGGGATCGGGTCTAATAGACAGGTTGATGGCTTCGATGAAGAAATGATTGAAGTTAACTGATGAAGATCGATAGCAGAAAAATGGTCTAAATATATATCTAAGTTTACATTGGCAGAAGTCCCTGAACTTGGGGAGCCACTGATAGCTGTTGATGGCAGTTGGTGATTCATTTTCTCTCTAATAGTAATAATTTTATTATAGAAGAAGCTCATGAAGTCATTGCTACTTAAGTTTATGGGGATATGTGGCTCAATAGAGCCGTGACTCTCTGTCAGCCTGCCTACAGTGCTGAAGATGAATCTAGGGTTATTCTTATTTTCTTCTACTAGTTCTGAGTAATAGGCTCCTCTGGCATTACGGAGGGCCTTTCTATAAATTTTAAGATTATCATGCCAAATTGAGCGATATTCTGATAATTTGGAAGAGCGCCATTTCCTTTCAGATTTCCTAGCTATTTGTTTTAACTGGCGGGTTTGGTGGTTATACCAAGGTGCTAGTCTCCTATGTTTTAATAATTTCCTTTTTATAGGAGCGATAGTCTAATGTTGATCGTAGTGAGCCTGCAGTACTATCGACAAGATTATCAATTTCAGAGGGACTAAAGTCAGCCCCCAAGACACGTAAGACCGATATGTATGAAAATTGGTACGCATTTGTCTCATGATGGGACAAGCAGAAAAGCCTCTTGGACCCATAACCCAAACCCAACAGGAAGTCGGCCCTTTTGAATTTCATGGTCATTTTAGGTGATTTGCACATGTTGTATATGAACAAACTCCTCCTAGGGAATTTATCAACTCGACATCAAATTTGGTCAGTATAATGTAAACACCATTATGATTTGTGACTGTGCATCAAACGGCGTGCCAGTGGTGTGGTGTCCAATGTCAACGACTCACCATGAAAAAGGAAGTTGTCATAACTGCAGCTTACATGATCCAATCTCAATGAAACTTCACATGTTTGATAAGAGTCCCGCCCTGAACAGCTTGCTAGGCCACAATGACCTAGTCCAGGGGTAGGCAACCTGCAGCTCTTTAGCCCTTCTCCAGTGGCTCCCTGTGGATCTGACAAAAATTGTATGAAAATTATTAACAGTTATTATCATTTGGCAAAACATTTGGCAGAAATATAATATGAATATAAGAATGGAATATTCATGGAAATGTTTTCATTAGTGTATAATCGCCAGAATATAAGAATAATTTTCCTGACATTAGAACAGTGGTTCCCAACCCCCAGGTTGGGACCCCCATTCAGGGTCGCTAAAGCTTCACGGGGGTCACAAGGCCTTTTGGATTTTAAGGGGTGTAAGAAAACTTTTAACTTAAACTTTAATCATACACACATACACACAACTGTAGTTCCTCCCTCACATGGAGGGGAGGGTGAAACACCTATGTTACAATCTGTAACTACACCACTAGATGCCTCTTAATCTTACACACTAGTCCTTTAACAATTTGTCAACTAAAATGTGCATCATAAGTTGTGTCCTGGTGCCTTTTCCTCTATATTTTGCCAAACCTCAATTGTGGTGGCTACTTGTCTTGAGTATTCCTAGCTAGGGTACCTATGGATTCCAAATCCAAATAAAGAAAAGTTTCAAAGGAAAATAGAGAAACCTGATGGACCATGGACTGATTTGTTTGCGTTCACCACCAATGCTATGCAATGTATGCTTGACCTGCAGGGAGAAATTAGCATTATAATCCTCAAATATGTGTTGTGGCTCCAAAGATTTTTCTTTTTTGTGGACACAAATGTCTCTTTAGATAGAAAAGGTTGTTGACCCCTGACCACAAATCAATCCAAATCTAATTCATTAAATCATCTTACTAAACTGCTCTCTCAGTGTCTGTGTCTGCATCTGGGTTTGCCTTAAAGCAAATCTTCACAGCAACTTCATTACCCGCTATTCCTGAATGCCACCCTCTCTATTCTGAATAAACAGTGCAAAATCTCCTGTAGCAGGTCAGGACAAGCCGTCCATGTCTCATTTTTTAGGTAAAACAAAGCAGCAGCAGAATCTTGTTTTCTTAATCCACCACATAGCCCACAGGGTTGCCATCAACTTTGCAGTAAACACAGAAGTCTTTTAGAAAGGTAGTTGCTTTGTTGAATACCAATATTCACTACATACATTCCAAATCCTGTTTTTCCTGAAATCAAATCCTGAAAATCATTAGGAAAAATCTGCACTGAACAATTAATTTACATATTGAGTGTCTAATGAGAATTTGGAATCTTTATTATGGATCATATCAGCAATGATAAATCCACCTGGGACTCTGAGAGGAACCAGAAGGGACCACACAAATAGACTAAAAATGGTAATTTATATAGCGCCTTTCCAGTCTTCCGACTGCTTTACACTGCATTCACATTCACCCATTCACACACTGATGGCCGCGGGTGCCAAGCAAGACCAACTGATATAGATTGAGCAAAAGCTGTTGTATTTATTAGAAACATATTAACAGAACAGCCTCAGAATTGAGCTTCAGAGCAATTTGCTATAGGCCTAGACTTTCGGGGGACTTCCCATTGTAACGGAAAATTATTATATTACCCTATATAAAGTGCCTTTTCCATGTGTGCTTTATACAATGTAACCTTTCCATGACCATGTTTATACAATATATATTCTTTTTATGACCATGTTTATGCAGTGTATCCTGTGAGTTACTGTCTCTTTGATGTTTTATAGTTCTTTATGTTGTCTGTACCCCAGCAGAGATTCCTTTGGTTTAGCAAGAAATGTATCCTCCATGTTGGGGTCACAAGAGTTGCAGATTTATCTCTCCTGCACCTGGTGATACTCTCAGACCCATAGTTAATTGGAGTCCCACAGGTGCCAACTGATAGGGAATAGAGACACTTTGTTAGTTATGTAGAAACCTGACCTTGCTCTTCCCCGACCTTTCTTGCAAGAGAAGCTCACACGTGAACAAGAACATTTCCATAACACCATGATGCACTAAGCTCCTCTCATCCTCTCCCTCTCTATCTGCACACATTCATGTCCCAATAATGCATGTTACTAACTTCACTTCTTCCCCTGAAGTTTTGTGCTTTCTTGCCTTGCAGGTTCTCACTGTGGTGCCTGCTGCCATGGTCCTGCTTGATTCAATTCCCCCCCTAACCCCAACTGGTCGAGGCAGACGGCCACCCACCTAGAGCCAGGGTATGTCCGAGGTTTCTGTCTCTTAAAAGGAAGTTTTTCCTTGCTGCTCATGGTGGGAATTGTTGGGTCTCTGTAAATAATTTTAAAAAGGAGTTTGGTCTAGACCTGCTCTATTTGAAAAGTGTCCTGAAATAACTTTTGTTATGAATTGGCGTTATATAAAACTGAATTCAATAGTTTTGAGGACTCATCTCAAGCTCAGGGTGGTAACATACATTTATCCAATCAAATTTGATTTAGGGTGACTACCTAACCACGGGCCATCACATAAAATTAGTTACTTTACCGTTAGCCGGTGGCTTGCTAGCAGAGCAATATCTTAGGGTTTAGATTTCAGCTGGCAGAACTGAACTTTACATTCCCGAAGATGGATGAGGTCGTTTTTCTCCTCCCTGAGATACAACATGGGTGAGGGAAGTGTGTGTGGAGCCCAACAGTCGTCTGCAGCCCTGATTAGAGTGCTGCAGAAATTAGTCCTAAAACCAATGGTCAGTATTTTTTATATGGGTTTCTGGTTAGATGTCTAAAAAAACATAAAATACGTCAGTAAATACCCCACCTGTGAATGTCAAAGCTTTTATGTGTCTTAAAAAAGGCGGTTGCTACAAGTGGCTAAATGAGACGACAGAGGTTGAGACATATCCACTCAAAAGTCTGCCTTCACAAGCCTCTTTGTGTTTATACTTGCACTCTTGCAAACTATTCTAAATCAAACTTTACTACTTGTAGATTTAATTAAAAGTTAGATGTCTAGTGGTGGTGATGTTGATGTCATGCAGGTTGTTTATAGCCTAATGTTAGCTTTGTACTTCTGGAGATCACATTCATGCTCAATCCAGAATCTAACAAGATGATCCCATTGGCTTCTTGTTGAAGGAGCCAGCCGATGCTCACTTCAGGGTTAGACATGGGTGCAGGAAGTAGGGGTGCTGAGGTAGCTGCAATACCCACTAAAATCTAGCATAATGAAAACCATTAGTACATAAAAAATGTTAACTCATAAACCTTAATGACTTTCTACTTTTTTACTGGGATTTACATCTAGTTTATTTGGCAGGAAATTGGTTTATTGGTTTGATAGTTTTTTTTCAAAAAAATGTATACAAAAATCATTAATGTCATGCATTTCGCATTTTGTATATGATTATATAGACCGACTTTCTCTCAGCACCCCCAACTCTGACTGACTTCCAGCATCCCTGGGACACTACACAAATATGCCATGCCAGCAGCACTCTATGGGGCTATATTCCCTAAACCACGCCCGCATTTTAGCTATCCAATCACTTCTGTGGTACTCAGATCCCTCTTATAAGTTAAATAGATAATCATGGTGTTTGATCATGGCATGAAGAAAGGAGATCAACAACAGAAAAAACACATAATGTTACTATAAAGATTCTTACAATAGTCTGTACACACTGATTTTCTTGCTCCACCAGTCTCTTTATTTTCCAATGACAGTGTTAGGGAAATACAGAGCAGAAATATTGACATCATGGCTGGGCTCTATTCAATCCAGCCAAATTGTAGATACTTAACCAAAAACATGGTCGAGGATTGTTGAGTCCAACCTTGTAATTGACTGACAACAGAAAATGTAACATGAGTAAATCATTATAGTGTCTTAAACCAAGAAACCAATCACTGAACTCAACAGGTTTGTTTTACCCATTTTCCACCAAAGCAGGTTGAGGGCCGGTTGGTGCCTAATCTCAAACCAGTTCTTTGCGTTTTGAACTGGCTCTCAGCCGGGAACACCAACAACTTGCTGGTTTAGAACAAAGAACCACTTATGTCAGGGTCTGTGGGCGCTTTGTTGCCAGTCAGCTATGTATTTATCAGCTATTTAACAAGCTACTCATTTCTCACATCAATGATACCAACGTAACAGATTTTCTGAATGTATAATTGAGCTAGCAGACTAGCTAGTTAGCTGTTGGTCAGCTAATGTTACTCCATGTAATGACATGGCTTTCTAGCTCATGGAAAAGCAAACTGGTTATTAGGAGGTTGTCAAGTCCGAAAAGGCACAAGCACCAGCCTGGAACTAGCACTAGGTTAGCGTTGGTGGAAAGGGGTTGTCAGTGATGCTGCAATGTTTTTGGTTTGGTGACCTTCACATTATTAGAACTGAAATGAAGGCAGAGCCATGTTTGTTTGAACACTGTGTTGGGATCAGTTAGCCCATGTTATGGCGGTTTCCGTAACCTCTGCGATGAGTGTCTTTCCAGTCATCCCAGTTTCTGACTTTCAGCAGAGACTCCTCATCATCGTTTTCAGCCTTTTTCTCCTTTTCTTCTTCTTCCCTCTCATTTGCATCAGTGTCTTCCTCCACAGCAACCCTTCTGGGGGTCCCTTGGTCAGGCAGGACTCCTTGTTTCCTGTGCTGTTCATACCAGTCATCTACTGTCATGGTGGGAAGGCTGGGGTAACCAGCCCCAAACACCCGGGCCTGTGGTTGAAGCAAATACATTCTATCAAACACTGTTGCACAGCATGCTAATGAAACTACAACATGTACTACTGCTTAGTACCTTTACACGTGATAGGAATTTGCTATTTTATTTGTTGATTTCATTAAACTATGATGAAATACCTCTGTCAACAACCATTCCTGTGTAGGTGTATATATGTGTGAGTACGGAAAAGGGAAAGGCAAGGTGAGCTACATAGTTTATTATTAAGGTGGACAATTAAGTAGAATTCAAATGGTGAGATAAGAGATAACCTAGTAGAAATAAGATCATGTAGGCCCCCTTTGTTTCATCAAAACAAAACAAAACAAAACAAAACAAAACACAACTCAGCTATAAAGCCAGGACAGTGAAATGTGCACAGGGGCACAATGTATTGTTCCATCATAAAGAAAAAAGTACAGTGAAATACGTCATTTTGTACATTAATAAATCAGAATTACATATACACAGTCTCACCTGTACAGCATCCTTTGTGAGGATGAAGGGTTTCATGGGAGGCCTGGCTGGCCGAGCTGGTTGTTTGGCAGCACCCTGCTTCAGACCATCCATATTCTTGAGTATCTCCATCTCCTGGTCGATGCTCTCTATTTCCTCCAGACACAGAGTGACCCATCTCCGGACATTCAGAAGGTAAAAATCTCTGCTGATTGCATCGTCAGCCTGCCCGTTGTCCACAGCCTTTCGAACATCTGACAGTCTGACTTCCAGCTCCCTCTTCTGGCGGTACCGCTCAATCTTGGCTTGTCTCTGTGTTGCCATGGAAACCAGGTCTGACGAGCAGGGGGCAGACTGGAACAACAAGCACACATCACAGGTCGTGGTATCACACGTTTCATTTTCAAACTATGCTGACTTTAATATTCTCATGTAATTAGTCACGGTGCTCCTTTCTTTCTGTGTGTTTCCTCTACATCCATTTACTTGTGCATAATGGGTCTATTTATTACTATTACTTTCTCCTGCACTGCCCCACCAGGAACTCCATTACTTTCTATTCTGCTCTGTTCATAGTCAGCTGGTACTGTGAAATAGTAAAATATATAAAAAACGTTTTTCCTTCTTTCTGTATTATTCACAGTCCCTGCGACATCCAACACCAGTTTATGATTACAACACTGCTAGCGAGTGAGGGTTTAAACACAAAAACTGATTTTGAGAATCGATACAATATCACAAAATAAAATATCTATAATATCTACAATATTTTTTTACAAACCTAATGAACTGAGAGTCAATTTACCCAGCCCTCCTAACCAAGGTAATTATTTTGCTGGTTCTCAAACTATGATCTGTGGTGGTATGTGAGGTTTGGGCTCCCGTAGGTCAGAGTGCGCTGACCCCTCCCCCCACCTCTCCACAGATAAACACAACATGGCAGCAAGCCAGGATGAGCTTGTCCCCAAAAAAGGCACAGTGTCGTCGGTTGTTTGGAACTGGTTTGGTTTTGTGGCGTCCGACAGCGAACAAACCACGACCCACTGGAAAGTTTGTTTGAAAGCTGTTGCAACCAAAGGTAGCAGTACGACCAATTTATTCCAGCACCTCAAGCAGAGGCATGCAGCCGAGTGGGAGAAATGTTGCTCTCTGCGAGATATACAGGACTGCAGCTCACAGACACCCGCTAAAAAAACAGTCTACAAAGAAATTGATTAAAATCGTAAATCGGGTTTGGTGTGAAAAAATCGGAGATTTTATTTTTAAGCCATATCGCCCAGCCTAGTACAGACACTGCTAAACAAGGCATTCAGGGAATATAAAAAGTAGGAATGTGAACTACTTTATTGTTTAATTGCTGTTTGAACTGAACTTTGAGCTAGCTCTTATGAGGTGTGAACTTCCACGATGCTCCATAATATTACCACTTAGTATGGGCAATGGTTCTCAAACTGTGGGTCATAGGGTAAAAATATGGAGTGAAATTCATGCCAAGTTCACAGCACACCATTTTAGGCCTGATTTTACACTTGCCTGCTTTACAGCCAGTGAGAGAAGGCTTAGGCAGCCTCTCTCCAGAACCACAGATCCACCGGTTTGTAACCAGTAGTAACAGCTGAAAAAACTCCTTAGATACCGACACACATAATGGACGGTGAATCATCGCACACTGAAAAGAGTGCAGATACAACAGAGGCTAAAAGCACTGAGGCAACAAAATGCAGAATACAGTTTATCTTTATGGATTATATTGATACCGAACTGACAAAAAGACTGTCAACGTGTTTTAGAGTTACTTGTTGTTACGGACACGTTAGGAATTGTTCAAATTTGATCATTCTTAAATATAGTCCATAGTTTTGACACTAGTCAGACTTGTCAGATCTTGTAGTGTGTGATCTGATCTGATGACTCTGAAAGTCATTTAGTGTAACCAAGGCTTTAGTAAAGGAATGTGATTGATTTAGGGCAAATTAACCATCACAAGTTTGCTGATGCTGTTGAGCTGACCTTTATTTCACTAAAATCTCTGCTTTTTTATCAGTTGCTTAATCATTAGGGATGGAACACTTCAAGTAAAAAATGGCAAGCGGACACACCGAGTAGCCTACAGTTTGAAGATCCCCCAGCATCCTTTCAGACAGCTGCATGGGAGTGTTACAGATTTTGTGTTACCTATGATTATGGAAAAAGTGTAGAAAAGTGAGTGTATGCAAGCACTGTCGGCACATACTTCCAGTGTAATGAACTATTTGCGAGAGATTTGAGCATTCGATTAATAATGTGGCCATTTTTAGATAAAAACAACAAAGCAGCATTATTTGTTTGTACTAATTAAAAAACGTAATCACATAGAATCTGACCTTATCAATTCTAAGTCAGCCGCTTTCATTTATGGTCCAAATCAGAAACAGGTCTGATTTTTTGCACCGTCATATTTATATTTAATGTCACTTTAGAGTTGAGCGCAAAGGCTTGCAGTGTGAATGTCGCCTCAGTAAGGTTTGATAGAAATTGTGGAGCGAGGGTGTGAACTTTGAATAAAAGCAGCTCTCCATTCGCAACTTTTCGAACTCCTCTGGTACTGATGCTGCTGTTACATAAACTACCGTCACTGCTGTTGCTATAACAACACTAACTGCTGCTTTAACTGCTTCATTCTGATGACCCCAGTTACATTCGCACGTTGTACATTGTGCACCATTAACGTAACGCACTCGTTACTGTTCAGGGTTTGCACAAAAAACACCTAGTGTAATCTTTAGCTAACAAACTACAGCACTTACCTTAGCTGCATAGCGTCCATTTTCTGATTCTTCACTAGGACTTCTGTTTTCATTTGTCGACTTTGGCAGTTCAAACGGGGATATGTTATACTCTTTACATCTCCTCAAGAAGTCCATGAAGTAAGCCCTGGCTGTCTGGACAATCTCTAGTCGTTTGTCTCGGCCGCTCTGCTTCATGGTCAGAGCTCCTAAAAGAGCGGGCAGCAGCAGGTACTTCAGGTCCACCGTGGCTATCTCCTCCAGCTCTTCATTGCGGCTGAACAGGTCGAGCTGAGCCACCATTCTAGAGGCTTCTTCCAACAAACTCATACCGCGTTTAACTCTGACCTGGACACTGTTAGAGCCGAGCGGTTCATTTGTGCTGTCTACCTCCTCATATATTTTCCACCCACGATCTAGTAAGTCAGATAATTTAAGAGGCCCTGTATCTGAATGTTGTGGCTGTCGAACATCGTTGCTGTTTTCACACTCCGCCATCTTGTCATATTTTCCGTGGTTTTTCTTCTTCTTCTTCTTCTTCTTCTTCTTCTTCTTCTTATAGGATTTCGGCAGTGTAGACGCTGTTAAGCGTATTACTGCCCTCCACAGGTCAGATTTAGATCTAAATTCTCACATACAGTCCTGTATCATGTAGAAACTACAGAACTGCTTTGGAGTTTGTATTTTTGTATTTCTCACTGTGTCTAAACAAAGATACAACAGAAAAAGCCTCAACTCCAAGTCCTGTCAATCTAACAAAGAATACCTTTCTCTCTTCCCTATACTTTCAACATTCTAGGAATGTTAAGCATGCCTTACTGTTTCAAGGATCCCACATTCACACAAGCCAGAAACATGTTTTCCTACAATGCACAAAGAATCATTTAACCCACAATGACCCAACCTCAATCTACAGAGTTTCACTGAATCCCTACGGGACAGAGAATTACATAAACATATTTTCCTAATTTTAGGTTGTATAGAAAAGAAATGTCTACCCCTGGCTTCCCTTTGCCACCCTATTTGCCATTGTTTTGTTAAGCCCTCTTTGATTATTTCCCTTAATTCCACTCTCCCCATGGATAAATGGACATCTACTTCTCTGCTTAAGCTTTCCTTTGCAGTGTGGTCCACCTGCTCATTCCCCCTAGCCCCAGCGTGCCCTGGAACCCAGCAATAAGTAATGCTGCAAGCAAACCCAATTCTAAAAACCACATTCAAAATGTCATTCATAATGTCAGGACGAGCTGTAGTTTTTCCTGCTCTTCAAGTTTCCAGAGCAGCTGCAGAATCAGAGCAGATAGTGACTTCTTTAGGTCTGGCTTCCTCAATCCACCATAAAGTCCATAGAATTGCCATTAACTCAGTAGTGAAAACAGAGCTTCCATTAGAAATACGTCGACCAATCTTCAACCCAATCTGCTCCACATACACCCCAAAGCCGGCTCTCCCACTAACTGGATCTCTAGATCCATCTGTAAAAACAATTAAAGTACTCTCATTGATTGAATTAAGATATTCCACTATTCTTGGAGTCACTTTCCTCTTATCTTTTTCCTGAAGAAAAGAAAGCTCAATGTTAAATTCAGGCATCACCCAATAGGGCATAGGTAGCCATCTTGTGTGCTCTACCTCCCCGTTCCAAGCCCAGCTTCTTAGCCCACTGATTTATAGTGACAAAAAAAATATTATATTTATTACGTGCAATCTCTTGTAACAGACACCTTGCTGGAAAGGTATGACTACACCCCCTAAGTTTAACCCAGTACTGTAACCCTAACTTAACTTAACCATAAGGGCATTTCTCCCATTTCAACGAGCAGGGCAGGGACTGGGGAAGTTCTAAAGGCCCCACAACAAAGCCTCATCGCCCTTGCATGCACCACATCTAACTTAGCCAGAACAGTTTTAGAAGCAGATCCATACACAAAACTCCCATAATCAAGAGCAGATCTGATCAAGGCCTGAAAAATTAGCAACATCGTCTCCCTCTCAGCCCCCCACTCACACCCAACCAGACTTCTCATAACATTCAGAGCTTTTCCACATTTCAGCACAATTTTATCTACATGCACAGCCCAAGTCATACGCTCTTCAAACCATACACCCAAACATTTAAAAACCTTTACCTTCTCCAATAAAGACCCATACATATACAGCCCTTTATTAGGTAACTTTCTTTTAAAACCAAATACAACATATTTAGTCTTAGATGCAGAAATTGTGAAGCCCCATGTGTTCCCCCATTCCTCTATAGACAATAATACTCTTTGAATCTGTTTTAAAACAAACTCTACATTACGCCCTCTTTTCCAGATGGCCCCATCATCTGCAAATAGAGACAACCCAAATCCTCTCTCTATTTTGCCAAAGATATCATTAATCATTATATTAAATAAAACTGGACTGATAACACTTCCTTGCAGGGTTCCGTTCTCTACTTCTACAGTCTTTGAACAGACACTACCAACCATTACTTGTATTGTTCTTTTCATTAAAAAATCCTTAATCCAATTAAACATTCGTCCCCTAATTCCCAAGTCAAAGATTTTAATCATTAATCCCTCCATCCACAAAGAATCATACGCCTTCTCAATATCCAGGAATACACTCAATACTATTTCCTTATTGCTAAATGCCCTTTTGATATCCTGATCCAAAACTGACACTGATTCCATTGTCGACCTTCCCTTCCTAAAGCCATTCTGGACATCAACAAAGAGTCGTCTGGTTTCTATGAAGCACACTAGTCTGTTGGTTACCATCTTCTCCATTACTCTCCACTGCTGTGAGCGCTATAGGGCGGTATGAACTAGGGTCAGATGGATCTTTGCCTGGCGTCAAGATAGGGACCACAACTGCATGTTTCCATTCCTTGGGCAAATAACCCTCTGCCCACACCATATTAAACAAAGCTAAGATTTCATCAAGTACAATATCATCCGGATGCTTAAAAAACTCATAAGACAACCTATCTCTCCCCGGGGTAGTATTTGCCCCAGACATAATTGCATCCTTCAGCTCTTTTATAGTAAAAAACAGATTAATAGGATTATCGTTTTCTAACTGCACTGCTTGAAAACTATCAACACACATGTCTGCTTTTTCCTTATTGGAAACTGCTACTGTCTCACCTTTCTGTAATACTGGTATCAATCTTATTTTATATACCCCTGACATTCTACGTATTGCAGACCACAAATGCCTTACAGGAGTCTCAGGGCCTAGCGTACCACAAAACTTCCTCCAACTATTCCTCTTTGCATCCTTTATAACTCTTCTTGCTACTGCCCTTAGCCGCTTGTACTCCATTACATTAACCAACATTGGAAACTTTCTTAATCTTCTATATGCTCTATTCCTATTCCTTACAGCTTGATCACATTCATTATTCCACCAAGGAACCAGCTTACGAGTCCTAGGTTCCTGCTTCAGAGGAATGGTACCACAAGCGGCCTCATGTATCATGAGACTAATGGATGTATTCCAACTATCTACAGTACCCTCACTATCAATCTCTCCTACTAAGCTCTGAACCCTCTCCTGACATTTATCCCATTTAGCCTGAGAAAAGTTATATCTAGGGGCTTTCTTTTCCACTTCGCTCCTCAAATCCCTACCAAACCTGCATAAAATAGGATAATGATCACTACCCAATGTATACGTGTCTATAACATCCCATTCACCAACTCTAGCTAAGTTTGACGAAGCAATTGACAAATCTATATGACTGCAGGTATTTCTGACAATATGATACCTAGTTGGCCTTCGATCATTTAACACTACTAACTCATATTTATCTATAAATTCTTCTACAATAACACCATTTTTATCCCTATGATCACTCATCAAAATCTGACAATACCAAAGGTTGACAAGGGTTATAATAATTTAGCACAGTAATAGAATTTTGACTACTCCAAATCTCTACAGCCAAACACTCAAGATTGGAATTAATATCAATTCTCCTATAGTGCAGCCCAATATTAACAAAAGTTGCACAGCCCCCACCTGATCTATCAGACCTATCTACTCTCAAACATTCATACCCTGGGATTACAAAAGCTAGAGAAGGCTTTAACCAAGTCTCTTGGATACATCAATTCTGGAGCTTCTTTAAATTCATCAACAAACCTTTTTAACTCCTGACCATTTCCTATTAGACTCCGGGCATTCCATTGAAGAATATACCACATTAAGATGCTAATGAGGATCCACCTCTTCCACTTCACCAACATCCTCCATACTGCTAACCCTCACCAACTGTGACCTATCCATAGGTTGACTCTCCTTCATGTGTTGATGTAACTCTTCTGGCAACTGCGTTATACCGAGGAACCTTTCAGCTGCCCCCACCACTAACCTGATAATATCTGAGCAGTTAGCTGCTTTCTTAGCTCCTACCAACACATCAGATACAAAAGACAGAAATGACTCCTATTTGCTGTTTCTTCTTCCTTATTATTTTTAGCACTTTTGATTGCGTTTTCGCCCCCCTGAACATATATACGAAAAGTCAATTTTATTTGGTATTATGTACGTTAAAGGGCGTGTTCGTGGCGTTCCCTCAAAGTTGGCCAGGTTGAATCGAATGTCAAACTGTGATGCTATTTCCTGCATTTAAGGGCTTCTCTTTTAACTAACTCCTCCTACAGATTTTATCAGATTGACTTCAAATTCGATCACTTCAATCTACACACATTGGTTATCAAAAGTTGTGCTATTTGTGACTGTATGTTTAACCGTGTGCCCGTGACGACGTGTCGAATTCCACCGATTGGCCATCAAACAGATAGTACTCATCTTCAGTGTACAGTCCCACCCTGAACACGTCCTCATAACTTCAGCGTACATGATCCAATCTCAATGAAACTTCACGTGTTTGATAACAGTCCCACCCTGAACACGTCTACATGACAATATTCAGACATAGTGATAGCGCCACATACTGGTAACAGGAAGTATCACGTTTTATACTTTCATGTTCTACTCCTCGCAGGATGATCAGATCCAGCTGAAATTTACTTATAAAATGCAAAACACATTGATGATATGTGTTGACTGTGGTGAGGGGGCGTGTCTGTGGGGTGGCGGGAAATTTTGATGGACCGCCACAAAACACGAATTCACTATAACTTGAGTGTACATTGTCCAATCGGCTCCACACTTCAAATGCTTGATAACAGTCCTGCCCTAAACACGTGTACATGACAATATTCAGACATAGTGATAGCGCCACCTACTGGCAACAGGAAGTAAGCGCTGCGTTTTGAGCTGATTAATGGCAGATTTTCATGTTGTGGTCCGCACAACCAGATTTTACGTGTTTTTCCCCCAAGGGAGAGCTGGGAGTCATCATTCAGAAGGTGTAGAGCAGGTTCCATTGGTAACTGTACCCCTGTTAGCACTGCTATTGTGCTAATTACCTTCTCCCATAAATCCAAAATCCCCGGACATTCCCATAGAACATGTTCAAAAGAGCCAAAGGTTCCCAGGGGACAAAATGAGCAATATG